AATTAAAAGGAAATATTGTGTAAGGAGTAAATTGTCAAGTGCTGAAAATTGCACTAAAGAAATATTTGCTTTAGCCAATATGAGTCGACATTTCATCCGAGGTGTAACCAAGGAACAGTCTAGTACACACGGACTTTGTTGATCTACTTTGGCTGCTGATCGCTTTAGCGTGAAAATGGCCAATTCTTTTATCGTCTCAGCTGAAAACAGGTGAATTTATACGCTAAAATATCCCCGATTAATCTTCTTCTTCTTCTTCTTCTTCTTCTTCTTCTTCTTCTTCTTCTTCAGGGTGTAAATTGTCACTACTCTATATTTTTAATTTCGCGCATGCGCCGTTGGTTGCTTTTGATTTTGTCGACTACACAATATAGTAGGGTCAGTTGGGCATCGTCTCTAAAACAAAAAAGCACTATGACACCATTCACTCGGCCAGAACTTTGGAAGCGGCATGACTGCTTAGCACTCGAGCCGGAAGCTCCAATACCAACATTTCAGAGTGTTTGGGTGTCAATCTGAGGACTGTACAGAGGAAATAGTTGGATGAGTCTAATGGTGAGTACGAAAGTGTTTGGGGTGATCATTAGTGATGGTGTAGTTATGCCTCCATTCTTCTTTTCAGACTCAACATGGAGGTCTACATTAAGAGCCTTGAGGCTGTAGTACTGCCATGGTGGCTGCTGGAAGACCGTGCACCATGCCACACAAGCAGGAGAACCCAGTCATAAACGTCAGACAATTTCTGCGTGCACATCATCCCTTATATCTAACTCCCCAGACTGCAACTCACTTGATTATTATGTATGGGGCGCAGTTTAACAAGAAACCAACTAAACTCTTTGTAACACCAAAGATGAACTGAAGTCAAGGATTATGGCAGCATTCACCAACTTAAACAAGGAGACCGTTCAGAAGAGTTACAGGAGGTTTCGAAATCTTCTGGAGGCTGTGGTTGAAGCCAATGGCAATTTCATTGAATAAATTTACTTTTTCGTATTTCAAGATACTTTTGTGTGATTTTGGTAAATATATCTGTTAAAATGAGATGTCAGTGTTATTTTCATTTTTTGCATAATTTAGACGTAATCCATCGTACCCTGTATGTGCCGTGTCACTTCAGGACGTTGACGACGATCGTAGTTCCCCACAATTTCCTGTCGTTTGTAGCTCTTAATAAATGTTGTCTTTATATTATCTCTCCTAAGCTTTGTTTTGCCATCTCAAGCTCGCCATGTACGTTATGCGTTGTTTTTCTTCCTCTGCATTTAATCTATCTTGTGAGAGACAAACTTTCCAAACCCTGTTTCCTCATCATGTGCCCTGAAATTTCTCTTCCTGATGTTAAGTATAAGTTTCCTTTTTGTTGCCATTGTTTCTAGAACTTGGTCGTTACTCACATGTTCGGTTCATGGCATTCTTACCATCCTTCTATAGAACCACATTTCTGTTGCTTCTCTTCTTCATCTGTAAGATTTTCCAGCATTCATTGGTATATATTTTTTTAATCGGTATCACTCCAAGCAAGGCAATAAAGCCACTAAAACACAACGTCTACAGGGTGTGGGAGAATTAAGAACAGAAACATTAATAATGAGCGGAAAGAGAAAAGAGTAATCAGGAGGACAGTAGATAGCGATTTACATTGCATTTAAATTTTTGCAGATTAAAGTTGGTCGGAAAGCATGGAGCCGGAAGGGAGTTCCACGGGTAAAAACTGCGATAAAAATAACTATTAGCATGAAACTTACGGCTACATCTAGCCAGCTGGACTGTAAATTGATCAGATCTCGACGCCAGTCTAATACTGCGTCTAAACTCATAAAGTCTAGGTACCATAGCGAAGAGCTCATCTGAATAATTACCATGAAAGAACTTATAGAAAAAGGCACAGAGAGGCAACCTTACGGCGATGGGAAAGTGACTAAAGCCGAGCCGCTACATCAAGGCCAATAATATTGCTGATTCTTATCTGGATCTTATCAAGGAGCTCGAGTTAAATAGCAGGGGCACCGGACCATATGTGGCAGCAATATTCTAAGTATTGTGAGACCGGAAACTACCTAAACTATAGACTCTTCCAGGCCTATATTAAGTAGGCGACATAGCACTCTAGAGAGTGTTATAGTAAGCTCCGCTTACACTATCTCTGTAACCTGTTGTTAATATATCTTTCTTACATCTAATCCGTGTTCCGTGTTTTACTTCTGTGGTCCCAACTTTGGCCCCACATCAGTGGCGACGAGGATTCAAGAAACGCACTCACGGTGAAACATCAATACCTTACCAGTCCCACATCACTAAGCATGGACGAATGGTAGACATAGATATATAAGATAGATTTTGGAGAGAAAAATTGTCTCGCACGACACATTGAACCGACTTCCTTAGCAGTTGACCTCACAATGGATTCAATATAGTCTTTCCATTTCATGTCAGCTGGAGGTTAGCATCAGCCATACAGATAGAAGGCAGAGAGGGTTATCTCAGATGTTTAATGGAGAGAAGTTTAGTTTTGCAGGCGTTAAAATTAACAAATTGCTACTACATAACCGTACAGTACTCTTATCTGTTTGTACTTCATCATTGTTAATTGTATTATTCACCTTCTGATTACTGCCCTTCAACTTTGTTGTTTTTAATTAACAGAATATTTCGGTCGTTATGCCCTTCAGCCGTCTTCAGGTGCCTGTCTGTCAATTCGGGGTATTTCGAACTGAAATCTTTATTTAATCTACAGGGGTTCACGTTCTACTCCCATGTGTAGAGATATCTCGTTTTGTTATTTCATTTTTTTTTTTTTTTTTTTTTAGTTTTACTTAGTTATTGTTCGCCTTGTTTCCAGTGAGCCTGAGTCTACACTACCCGGTCCAGGGATTGAACTCAGAATTACTCTGCCACCGAATTCACAAACCAACTTTTAATTCACTGGATTATTGTCTCGTGGATATGACCAGCGGAAAGGGGACAATCTACCGCCATAGATTAAATAAAGAATTCACTTCGAAATTCTCTGACGGTCACTCGCTCGACAGAAACCTGAAGAAGTCCTGCGGTAACAATGGCCGAAACGAAGCTGAGTACATTAGTCCGAAAAGAAAAAAAAAACTGTGAATTATGATAACGCCGCATCCCAGAAATTCATCATTGTTATTGCTAGAAATCCTTATAGAAACGTTTGCAGTGATTAATAAGACCCCGTTTCTATCAGACATTAAGAAATGTGTACATCAAGTAAATAAAAAGTGGCAGAGGGGTTAGAAGATTAGCATGGCGTGCAAGAGACCTCGGTTCGATTTTCACTATAGTCGATTTGTCAGGAAGGTGACTTCTTGAAAATTACGGCTTGCGGGAGATGATCTCTGCGTGCGGTTCTGAAAAAACCGTACCACGTATTGACAGTTAAAATTCGCTAGACGAACGAAAAAAAAACTGTTCGGAAGCCGTCGATGCCTGTGACCGAGGGTTTGAATGTTGCTGGCTTTGTTCAAACTAGTGATCACGTCAGATCTTGCGATCTCTTCCAGAAACCGTGACTATGGACCAGGCGTCTGCAACAGATATTAGCTCGCCGCCTTAGCAGACAAGCATACCCAGAAACCAACGGTCAGCCGCACATCCAATAAAAGAACCGATTGTTCTTACTTTTTCTTTCCGGGTACCTACAATTTGCTGATGTCTATATTTTCCCTTTACAACTGTAAATACCAAAGCATTTCACCCCAAGAAGGACGTCAGGGGTTACTGAGAGTGAAAGACAATAAGACGACTTTAGTGGGGAGAAAGACGATAAAAGAACAAGATTCAGGAAGACAGAAGATGGTAACTGATGTTGGCTTTAAATTTTTGGAGATCGTAGGTGGCAGGGAAGCAAAAACCCGGAATTGTGTTCCAGAGGCGAGAAGTGTGAGAAACGAAACTATTAGAATAGAACTTACGGTAACATCCAGCAAATTCAGCGGTAAAAAAAAGAGACTTAGTTGCCAATCTAATAGTTCGTTTGGATTCATATGGTTGACGTACTAAAGATGAGAGCTCATTGGAATAGCTACCGTGAAATTGTTTATAGAAAAGACAGAGGGAAACCACACCACGGCATTTGGAAAGTAACTGGTGTCGATATGCTAGGTAAAAGTATCGGCCATTTAAGAAAATATCGAAAAATTATTTAAACGTCAAGTGGTCATCGTTTTGAAGGTAAGATGCGCAATGATTACAACTTTGCTTTTCTGAAATTGTAGCTAAGAATTCTCAGTTTGGTTAGGGTGTGGAATGGAGAAAATAATTAGCAGTCGAACAGGGAATTGTATTCTTCATCGGACGACAAGTCGTTCTCTTTATATTTCTTCGATTCAATCGAAGAAGGAAATCATTTATTTTCGTCTAACCAACCAGGAGAGGCGAAAATGTTTTATCTTACATCACCGACGGCTTTACTATTTTTTTTTCTTACTTGGTATATACGTCAAAATTAAATATAACATACTCGAGTGCCAAATGATTACCGCACAGGACTTTCCTTTACTTTGGAAGAGGGCAAGGCTTATCAGTACCCTGGCGCCTCGTCACCCACACAGAAGAAGTGACGAGAAGGTTCGAGCAGTTTTTCTCCCTACTTTCATATAGGCGTGGGACAACAAGTTAGATTTTGTCCTGTGTCACATTCCGTTCGTATGAGCATGTTCATAATTACTATTTTATTTGTTACATTCCTAACGCTAAATGATTGATTAATTCGTTTTTTACAGCTTATCAACCCTTTTCAGATTATTTAAAGCCAGAAAATATTTTTAGATTTTAAGAACTTTTTTGGGAAATAATAATGATTTAGTGATACAAGTCTTACTATTTAACCCATAGATAAGTGGAGTAGAAGTGGATCCATACCTTTCTCCAAGGGTATTTGAACGTAAGTGAATATAATGAACCCGACTGGAATTGGAACTCGGCTCTCCGGTTAACATTTTAGAGCCATTATCCGTTACACCACCCGCACATCCAAGCTTACAGCACCTAGTATTCTCAAGCGGTTACCCATTTAGGCACTGACCAGGCTCGACGTTGCTTAACTTCGATGATCGTACGGAAAACGGTGTTTTAACATAATGTGGTCGTAAGCCCTGAAGTTAAACGGTTGCTTTTTATCGACAAAGCCACTAAGGTATACTTTAATCACTTGGTTATATGACGTGCTTTGCTTTCAATTGACCACGTGAACACTGATGCAGTCTTTAGATAATGTGTGTCTCATTTTCTCCCTGGGGGACTTTTCAGTTCTCATTGAATCTAATGTCAAATTGAATACCAGAATACACAGCATAAAAAATGACCTAAGTTTACGTAGCTGCACACAGGCATATCTAATAATTCTACGAAACCAACAAAGGACTCTTCTCGAAATGTCTTTCAAGATCCTTCACATGAACTTTGTACACGGGAAAGTACGAAAAAGGATATCGCTACACACACGCGCCTTCATTCGTTTTTTTATAGTAACAGCCATGTAATCCTAACGCATAATTAAACCCAGTGGCCAGATTACGTGCTTTGCTCTCAAATGGCGAAGTGAACGTTGATACACCCCTTTAACAGATCGCAATTAACTTCTTTTGTCAAGCAACACTATTATATTACAATGATTTAAGATCGTTACATGACGAGCTTAAATCAAGTTAAATAGCTCGTTACTTAACGATCTTAAATCAAATTAAACAGCTCGAGATATCGTATGATATTTCGATTAGCCGTAAGCCAAAATTTTATTTAGTTTTTTTATTCTGCAATATCTCCAGGTTCATTCTTAAAACAACGATTGAACAGGCCATTCCTTTTTCAAATGTTTTTTTTTTCAATTACAAGTCCACAACGTGTTCACTCACATTGATAAATCTAATACGAAATCTGTCTTCTTTTAACTCTTAACACCTAACCTTTATAATTTATGACAGTTTTTAGATAAAGACGATGGACGTTATTTAATTAAATACGAATACAAACGGGTTTAACCTCGAAATGGTTATAAAGAACACTGCTCTGTCTAGAATTCTTGAAACTTGAGTCATTTTGTTTTCAAACCGATTTGAACGTAAACATGTTGGCAGCTCGGTTCGTAACGATAGCAATGGAACAACTGTCGGAATAGCCGCACAGAGACGAAAAACAGCACAAAATAATGTGAATATTTTTGCCTGTCAACAAATACGCGTCTCGCCCACTATTCCAAAGTAAGAAAAATTTCGTAAGCCGAGAAGTAATTATAATTTATTTATATAAGAATAATTTTGGGCCTTCCAAGTCTCCCCAGAATAAACTTATGTAAAACTGTCCGTACAATTGTCATTCTGAGTGTTCCTAAAAAGTTCTTTGCTACGATTAATAACAATTCAGAAATGGCGTAAATCGAAGAAGCAATTTCCATTAATTTACATGGGAAAATGTTTGAGCGTTCCTAAACTGAAAATATAACCTTGAGTAAGATTTTCTCTACGACTGATAGCGTTGTAATGATTTCAGAAACGGCGTAAATCGAAGAAGCAATTTCCATTAATTTACATAAGAAAGTGTTTGAGCATTCCTAAATTAAAAATATAACCTTCAGTAAGATTTTCGCTACGACTTTACTCCAGCTATCAGGTATGTTCTGCCTTGTTTTCCTCTATCCCGCTTGCCTCCAGTATGTCCTGTGAGTATTACGATTTCCAAGCCCTCTTTCCTCAATATATGCCCTAGAAATTTCAACTGATTCTTCTTGCTGTTTAGTATGTGTCCGTCTTCTTTTCATCTTTTCTAAAACTTCGTCGTTGCTCACATGTTCGGTCCATGATATTCACAGCATCTTTCTGTATTAATATATTTATGTTGTTTCAAGTCTGTTCTTCATCCGTGTTGAGATTGCCCAGCATTCACTGCCATATAGGAGGACTGGTATTACATAAGAGTTCAGTACTTTTTTCTTTGTTTCTAACAAAATCTTTCTGTTAATACTTAGCCTAGCTTTTGAAAGGCATCTTTCGGATTGCCGTGTCGCGTTTTCCGAACTCTGTAAAAACACTTCCCAGATATGGACTAAAACTAGTAATAAAATATTAGTAATATTGAAAAATGTATTGACTCAGAGTACTGAGATAAAACAAAGCAACAATAATATGATATATAAAGACTAGTAACTAAATAAAAGTAACTAGTTTTAACCCGTGAAAATTTCATGGTTTTCCTATTTGAAATTCCTTAATTCTTCAATTAATGAAAGAATAAGCTCATGGTGAGTTCTACGACAATAAAATATCAGTAGACCCCACCCCACCTATCGGATCGTTAAATATATGAGATTAACAACTTTAACAATCATAATTTAAGAAGTAAGGGGGTACAAATGAAAAGATTTGAAATTGATAACTTTCACTGAAACACGTTAAACACTTCTACCTTCCCTTCTTTCTTTCATTTTCTCATTGAAACCAAGTAGCGTCTTTGGTGTATTTTCTCTTCTCACGCAATAAAAAAAAACAAAAAAAAACAAAAACAAATAGTATACTATTCATGAGATATTAGTAAGATACATTAATCACTTCTATCTATCTATCTATCTATCTATCTATCTATCTATCTATCTATCATCAATATAAGTCTCTTAATAAGCCTGTTCACATCTGTCTGTCTATCTCTCTATCTATCTATCTTGATAAGTCTGTTCATATCTATCTATCTATCTATGAACAATATAAGTGTGTTAAGTCTTTTCATATCTATCTATCTATCTATCTATCTATCTATCTATCTATCTATCTTTATTTCTTTCTTTCACTGAAAACAGGTAACGTTTCTGATAATTTTTTCTCTTCATCCAGTCAAAACGGAATGGTTCATTATTTATGAGATATTGGCAGGGGGTAACGGTCGTGCGAAGTAAAGAAGGAATAAACAAGCACAAGTATAATAGGATAATGAAAATTAACCCAAATTATTTTTTAATTCCTTCAGCATATTTAACCTAAACGTTGTTTTAATGAGGTTCCTCACTATTTGGTCTATAATTCTGTTGCTGCAACGAGTCAACGTGACAGTCAGAATATCCAAACAAATGACTTTATACTTACTGGATAAATCCAGTTTCAAGCAAAAGGTATTTCACTAATTATTTTTTTTCAATTTTATTATGTTATTTTTTTTTTTTTTTGCTTGGGATTTTGTGAATATATTTTCCCTCAAGCCCGTAGTAAATATATTCAACATATAGAGTCATGGCCATGGTAAGAAGTAGAAGAAATGAATAAATCAGTCAGTTATGTGCCATGCGTGATACACGCTTAGGCGAACATGTATCTTTCAATACATGACTGACGAGGCAGATTTTTTCCGCAGTAGGTTGCCATTTTTATTCTGCAGTAGACCAGTTGCTATCCAAGGCTATAGAACCCCGTCTGTCCTGCTATTTACCCATTGCTGGTAAAGGTATTAGCACGTAAGTGAATGTAATGGATTCGACTGGAATTCGAACTCGGCTCTCTGAATCCTCAATCCGAGTCGCTCTCCATATACCTCTCCCAGAAGCATTAAACCTAGAAGTGACATTTTCGACCACGCCCAACACTGAGCTCTTGATGTGTTGCTGAAAAACGAAGTAAATATTTACAAAATCTTCGAAGCGCCGTGGGAATCCCCCCTCTCTTCATTAAACATATTTTGTATTTTGTGGGGAAGTAAAATCTGAAGATGGATCACCAGTGCTAAGGTAAATAACACAAGATCAAAGAACTAATGCTCACAATAAAGGACTGCAATCAACAGCTTCATCCAATGTCCATACTTTCAAATATTTATTTGGATAAACCATTTTAGCGCGTGGTCATGTTCTTGAGACAGTTAATGAGTGCTTACAGCCACATCACGTTGAATCACCGGTCGTGTACAAAAGTCAAGCCTGGTCAGTAACCTATTAAACGATAACGCCATGCCACACATTGCTCGAGTCTCCTAGGAAACGATTATGGTTCTGCATATGGAAGTTTTGCCTCACCCGCCTTACTCTTCTTACCTTGCTCCATCTGACTATCTTTTTAGATCATTGCAACATTTTTAGAGGGAAAACTGTTTATTTAATTGTGAAGAGGTAAACACTGATAGTGAGTGTTTCTTTGCATCAAAGCCTGAAGAATTTTATGCCCGAAGAATCAGCAATTTGCCAAATAGACGGGAACTTTTTATCGATAATGGGGGGGGCGGTATTTTCTTGATTAACACAGCCAACCAAAGGATAACTCGTAGCTTGCGTTTTTTCTATTATGGCGCCGACCACGAGTGATCTCATTTTTGTGGTCTTGCCCTTAAGGCTACAACCATGAGTTTTTTCGTTGTTTTAACACAAATAACTGCTACCTGGCGTCTAATGTGGGAACAGAAAATTGTACTGGCGACTAAAAACAAACTTTTTATGGGTAAAATCTGTTGAAAATATGACATATAAACGAAGCATTTGAAAAGCAACAGAAGTTCCTCATATCTCGTACAAGGAAGGAGCGTCTCAGTCCTCGTCAGATGAGTTCTCATTTGCCAATCCTTCTCCTACGCTATAAGGTTAGTCGAGCCCCAACTTGAGAAGATGAAACAGGAAATTGACCCTTGCTATCCACTCCGCGGCTGTGAGTCAAGAACAAAGAGATTCAAGTCAAGACAGATTTTTACACCCAGCAGAACCAATAAACGACAGAGTTCTTAGACAGCATCTGTCCCTGTGGTGTAGCCACCTTAAAAACGTGGAACATAGGCTTTCTCTCTCAGCCCCACAGAATCCCTCCCCACTGGCTCCAGCGTTGCTTTGCCCTTTTGGTCCTGCCTAAATGGTCTCCGAACAGCTGTTGGTCACTGTAGAGCCAACGTTCAGAAATGGGGTTATGCCATCGATGTTGATACCAACTGCCAACGCGGGAAATCATAAACTATGGAACATCACCTTGTTTGCCCCAATCTTGAAGATCAATGCGCACTTAATGACCCTGAAACCTTAATACCCCAGGCAAGGCTCTGTGTGCAACACTGGATGGGTATGGTGTAGCGACTCGATAAGAAGACTAGTATGGTGATTTTTGAATCAATCAACAATGTAGAGAGGTAGCTTG